CCCCCCCCCCCCCGCCGGCTCCGCCGCCCTCTCCCCGACCATGTCCGAACACCAGGGCCGGTATCCCCTGCGCAGTGCCAGGGCCTCCGCTGTGTGGGTGGTGGGCGACGCGGAGTGTTGTCCTTTTATTTCTGCCGGCGCGGCCCGGTCACCGGTGTGCGCCCAGAGCACCACACCCTGGGGGTTGTTGGGGGGCCGAGGACCGCCGCCTGGGGCGAGTGTGGGCGGGCTCGTGTGCGGGCGCGGCCCCCCCCCCCCCCGCCTGGGCGTGGCCAGTCACGGCCATGGTGCCCGGCACCGCCCCGGCCCAGCGGGGGAGGGGGTGGCGTGGGCCCGCTCAGTGTACCAGGGCCACAGGGCCCGGCGCCCCGCCCCCTGGTCTGGCCCGGCCTGGCCGGTCTGGCCTGGGGCCTGGTCATCCCTGCACTCCCTTCCTCGGCACTTCCTCTCCCTGTGCGGGTGCGGGCGTGGGTGTGCTTGTGCGCATGTGTGCGGATACGTGCGTATGTGTGTGTGTGTGTATCGGGGGCCCGAACAGTTTTTTCGGGAGACAAACCACTGCCCCGCGCTGGGCATGTTCCTCAGCCACTTTTGGAAATTGCCTGGGCCTGCCTTCTCAGTCACTTCTAAAGTACCCCCCCCTCTCCTCCCCCCCCCCCACCTCGCGCCGCTCGCTTTCTCCCCCGCCCACACATCCGCCCCCCTCCCCCCTTGCGTTTCTCTGCCCCTTCCCTTTGGCTGCCCCTTTGCACATGCACCTGTGTGTCTGCTTCCCGTCAAACAGCTCCTGACGCGTGTGCCTCCCTTTTGCCACCCCCCTCCCCCTCGCTCCCCGTCCAACTCTGCCGTTGCCACACACTCCTCTCCGCCTCCTCTCCCAGTTACTGCCAAGATGGTTCGTCCCTTTCCGCTTCCGAGTCTTCGTCTCCCCCTCCCGCTGCTGCTCGTTGCTGACCTCCCCCGCTTGATTCTCCCCCCCCCTCCCCCCCCTCCAGGACGCCACTCTTGCCAACATCAACGCTTCTGCGGCTACCCGCAACTACAGCATCCAGCCCCGCCTTGGTGTGTCTTCCCTGGTTCCCCCCATTACCCTGATCCTCCCCTCTTCGACAAGGCCACGCTAACCCCTCCCTTCCCACCCTTCGCACAGACTACCAGACCGTCGTTGGTGTCAACAACCCCCTGGTCATTCTTGACAATGTCAAGGTGCGTGGCCCCTCCTCTGGTTCCCCCCCCTCCTTTCTCTCCCTCTCTCTCTGGTCCCTTCATTTGCATTCCCCCCTCTCTCTTCCCCCCATTGCCTGAGAAACACTCTCACTCACCTCTCCCCCTCCCCCCTCGCCTACCCTGCGCGTCCGTCTTTCCTCCCCCGCAGTTCCCCAAGTTCTCCGAGATTGTCACCCTGACCCTCCCGGATGGCACCCGCCGTTCCGGTCAGGTTCTCGAGATTCAGGGCAAGCGCGCCATCGTCCAGGTGTTCGAGGGTGTGACCGGCATTGATGCCAAGCGCACTCGTGTCGAGTTCTCCGGCGATACCCTGCGCATTCCCGTCTCCGAGGATATGCTTGGTCGCATCTTCAACGGCTCCGGCAAGCCCATCGACAAGGGCCCCCGTGTCCTGGCCGAGGACTACCTCGATATCCAGGGTCAGCCCATCAACCCCTCCTCTCGTATCTACCCGGAGGAGATGATCCAGACTGGTATCTCCACCATTGATGCCATGAACTCGATTGCCCGTGGCCAGAAGATCCCCATTTTCTCGGCCGCCGGTCTGCCGCACAACGAGATTGCTGCCCAGATCTGCCGTCAGGCCGGTCTGGTCGCCCACGACGACGGCGAGGTTGCCACCGACTCCTTCGCCATTGTCTTCGCCGCTATGGGTGTCAACATGGAGACTGCCCGCTTCTTCAAGCAGGACTTCGAGGAGAACGGCTCCATGGAGCGCACCACCCTCTTCCTGAACCTGGCCAACGACCCGACGTGCGTCCTCCCTCTTCTTCTTGCTCGCCTCCCCCCTGTCTCTCTCTCTCTCTCCCCCCCTCTCCTCCGCGATGTCTCTATGTGTTCCCTTCGCCACTCTCGCACACATGCACAGATGTGCCCACCCATATCCCCTCAGCGATTGACACCTGCCCCCGCCCCACCCCCCTCTCCCCCTCTCCCCATGGCTCTGGCCGCTCGCCACAGCATCGAGCGTATCATTACCCCTCGTCTGGCCCTGACCACCGCCGAGTTCTTCGCCTACCAGCTCCAGAAGCACGTCCTGGTCATTCTCACCGACATGTCCTCTTACGCTGATGCCCTGCGTGAGGTGTCTGCCGCCCGTGAGGAGGTCCCGGGTCGCCGTGGTTACCCCGGTTACATGTACACTGATCTGTCCACCATCTACGAGCGTGCCGGCCGTGTCGACGGCCGTGAGGGTTCCATCACCCAGATCCCCATTCTTACTATGCCCAACGATGGTACGCATGACGTGTGCCTCCTTTGCCCTTGGTTCTTTCTCTGGCCCTCATGTCCTTCTCCTCCTCCCTCGCTAACGTCATGGCGCGTTCTCTCTCTATCTCTCTCTCTCTCCCTCTCTCCCTCTCCTCGCATGGCATGTGTCACGTCCACACAGATATCACCCACCCCATCCCCGATCTTACCGGTTACATTACCGAGGGCCAGATCTACATCGATCGCCAGCTCCACAACCGCCAGATCTACCCCCCCATCAACGTCCTGCCGTCCCTGTCCCGTCTGATGAAGTCCGCCATTGGTGAGGGCATGACTCGTGACGACCACGGTGATGTGTCCAACCAGCTGGTACGTCGTGTGCCCGGCGCGTCATCATCATCACCATCATCTCCTCTCCCCGCACACATATATACCCTGCCGTTTCCTTGTTGCCCGCATTGGGCGCGCACCACCCGCCTCCCTCTCCACCCTCGGCAAAGCAGCCGACTGACAATGTTCTCATATTTTCTCTTCCCTGGTGACCACCACCCCCCCCCCCCCCCCCCCCCCGCCCCCGGAACCGCACACACCCACACACAGTACGCCACCTATGCTCAGGGTATGGATGTTGCCGGCATGAAGGCC